ATGTGTGTGTGTGTGTGTGAGTGTGTCTGTGTGAGTGTGTGTGTGTGTGTGTGTGTGTGTGTGTGTGTGAGAAACCTAATAGGTTGCGGTTACTATAGTACCATGTTCTAGTGATTGCACTTGGTAACAACTGTAAGAAATAAAGGCCCGGCCAGTGTGGCTCAGTGGTGGAGCCTTGACCTGTGAGCTAGGAGGTCAGGGTTGGATTCCTACTCAGGGCACGGGCGCAGGTTGTGGGCTGGATCCCCAGTAGGGGGCGTGCAGGGGCAGCCCATCAATGATTCATCGTTAATGTTCCTGTCTCTCCCCTCTGAAATCAATAAAGATTTTTTTAAAGAAGATAGCTTTAAATGTACTACGACTTAGAGTCTGAGTAGTAAGGGAAATGGAGGTTAAATGTAAAGTTATTGTGGCCTAGGGCTCTGGAAATGATGTTGGGAATGTGCTGCCTACGTATGCAATGCTGACGTTTTCATCTTTGTCGCAGCGGAGCCTGCAGTGCGGGCCCCGGACGCCCGCGTGAGCACCGTGGACAGCTCCCAGGGCCCCGCCAGGTAGGCCTCCCCCGTTCGCTAACACGACATTGCGCTCGAGTTTCACGTGTCGGCTGGACTTCGAACTGAATAGGCTTTAATTAGCTTCCCCTAGAAGCCTGTCTCAGTGTATCTACGTTTGGTTGGCCTACAACCTTGTATTGGCCATATTAGTCTCAGGTGTACAGTATGTGATTCAGCGTCTTTATACCTTACAGTGTGATCACCCCACCCGTCTAGCGATCACTTGTCACCGAGTAAACATATCACAATACGCTTGACTATCTTCCCCTTCACGTTTCCCACCCCACCCCCAGTCCCCTCCCTCCTGGCAAGCGTCCCCGTGGCCTCTGTTTCTAGGAGTCTGCTTTTGTTTTGTTTATTCATTTGTCTTTTTAGATTCCATGTGTAAGTGAAGCCACGTGGTGTCTGTGTTTCTCTGCCTGAGCTATGCACTTACTGCTGACTCCTTCACTGAGCTGAGAGAGTTCTAGAAGCCACTGCACCCTGTCGCCCCGCTCATTCCCAACAGATCGGGGTGGAGATGCCAACAGTTAGGCCCCGCGGGGGCTGCCAGCGTCCACGGGCTCATCACACCTGCAGTTCTTGCAGATTTAGGTTCCACCCAGATAGTTCAAACAAGCACTTTCATTTAACCTTTTCATTTCTATGTGTAAAAAGAAAACAATGTTCCTATCTTCTCTGTCAAGGACACTGAGATGTAGGTGGAAGTATTTCAGGTTCTTTGGTTGAAATACAAAATATGTAGAAGTTTATATAATCACGGCTGTTCTCTGGTTTAAGCAACGTATTGTTTCCTCTGTTTACTTTTCATTAGGAGGGGGAGTCGGGTGGTAGTGTTGTCTGGGTCTCAGCCATTCTGTGTACAGTTTACAGAAAAGCAGAAGCACATGGTGACATTGTAACACTGGCTGTAAGGTTGTGACACTGGCTGTAACGTTGTAACACTGGCCGTAACGTTGTAACACTGGCCGTAACGTTGTAGCACTGGCCGTAACGTTGTAGCACTGGCCGTAACGTTGTAGCACTGGCCGTAACGTTGTAGCACTGGCCGTAACGTTGTAACACTGGCCGTAACGTTGTATCACTGGCCGTAACGTTGTAACACTGGCCGTAACGTTGTAACACTGGCTGTAACGTTGTCTTGGGTTTGCATTGCAGCGCGGAAGGAGATGCGTTCCTGCACCCTCATCACTTGCCTTCCAGACACTCACGCCCCCAACCTCCTTCTTCAGCCTCAGGTAATAGATTTGAAAAAGCCAAGGAGATGCCACCTCAGTAGGTTAACTGCGAGGTGATTGAGAGTAAATGTAAACAAACACACACATGCAGTTTTGTGAAATCTGTTAAATTGCTATAAGTTTAAATTTTTTACATGATTGCAATGACTGTTTTATTTTTCATTTTAAGGGGGAATCAGAAGGTCTTCATCTATGTCTTACGTTGATGGCTTCATAGGGACATGGCCCAAGGAGAAAAGGTAAATGGAGAATTCTGTCCGTCTGTCCACATTACCAGGAAATGCCAGCTCTCTCTGTCTCTTCTGCTGTTGGGCAAATCGCAATATACCTTTACTTAGTGCCTGTGGGCAGGTGATGGATCGAGGGGCTGCGTGTAGAAGTTGCCCATGGCCCTCACCGTACCTTGAGGACAATGTGATGGAGAAGCAGGGTACCACACCCGTGGATTCAACCAACTGTGGGTTGAAAATATTGGGGGGGGGGGGGGGGGGGGGG